AAGTTCACCTTTCTACATTATTTTCCATCGACTCTAGTTTTCAGTTCATGCTTTCATTACAAAATATGAGAGAAAAATGACGTTCTATTGTTAAAATCTTGCCAACTACTAATATCATGCAACTATGAAAATAACCTTAAAATATGAAGTCTAATATAAAAACCGTACGTTTTCATTCACTTTATCTTTCTGTCGGCAATAATATCCTTTTACGAATTAAAATATCTTTCAACAGTATTAAAGAATTATGCCAAACAGGAACAGATCAAACTTATCAATTCCTATACAGAAATCAGATCATTATTGAGAAAAAGTCAACCAAGACATAGTACAACTGTTATCCAGTATTACTAGTTTCTGTGCATTTCTACATGAAATATTTTGAAAGAAATCTTCGTTCATTTTGAATATTAGCACATATGAAACGTGACAAACGAACGAAATAACTGTTTGAAGTGATAAATCATTTTTGATTTCAGAATCTATGCAGTAGATAGATACCAGTAAGATATGAAATGTCTTAAAAGGATAAATATCCATAGACTTTTTTTCTGAAGTTATAGTAATTTTACTGAAATTTTGGGTTAGAGTACAGTATATATCCTCGAATCAAATGATGACATTTCGACATGATATTTTTACCCTCCGATAGATCTTTTTGTAATTAGTATGTACAAAAGATGTCAGTACAGAAAAAATGTTTTCTTTGTGGAGTTACTGAATTTTCAAAAATTTGAGATTCTCACGCCTTTCATGGGATATGAATGCTTATTTTTGAAAATTCAATAATTCTCTGAAAGAAATATTTTTTCGATGCTGACATTTTCTGTACATACTGATCACAATTAGATCTCCTCGTGAACAAAATTGCAGGTCGAAATACTATCATTCGATTTGTTGGTATATAGCGTGCCATACCCAAAAATTCTAGTCAAATGATTATAGCTATAAAAGGCAGGACTAATGACTCCTATCCTATTATGACATTTCATATCTCATTGCAGTCTACTTTGTGCATGAAGTTCAAATCAGAGATGCCGGAAATCATTTTTCGTTCAACCTAAGGATCATCCATAACCCAGTCGGTTGCTGCGTGTGTGGGTTCCAACCCAAGTCTTAATTCTTTTTCAGTTCATGAGTCATAGGATTCGATTGATTAGCTTGAACTCTCCCATTGGATAACCCAATGGGCAATCCTAGTTATGGTGACTTTCATTTATCTATTATATATTGATACAAAAAAAGCTTGAGTTCATCTATGTGAGGATTGTCTATAATAAGGAAGAGTGATCGTTTTATAGGCTATGATATAAAAATATACAGATTGTCCCAAAAGTTTCTTGGAAAAGTAAACAAATATCTCTTACACAACTGAAACGATTTCTATTTTTTTTTTATAAGATGATAACAAACTTTTTGCACTTGTATTTAGCATACCTCCCGATTTATGCTTACGTCTATAAATATAAGGATAAGTATAATTTTATTCTCGTCCCGAGTTGCGGATCACATGCAATTATAAAGCCAAAATTGTTCATGACGTAGAACAAAGAAAAAATTAGAAGTAAACTGGATTCAATTCATTGTTCTAGAGAATGTTACCTGTAATCCTCCATGGCAAAAAGTTTTTGCAAAATGAGCTGAGGGAAACCACAGGCAGCATTCACGAAAACAATAAATTACATTAAAAAATATATCATCTAACTCAACTTTTTGCACGGATTACGAATATAATGTTTGTCTTTGTTGGGAGGAAATATTTTCAACTCGAAATAACACATTCTGGGGTCGAAATTGATATTTCCGATTTTTAGCTACAAATCTTTAGTTTTCCACAACTAAACAAAATCTTTTGAAAAAGTCTATTCGCACATTTGTGTCTACTTTGGTACTGGTTCGTTTGGCATATTTTATTACATATCTTGTCAAAAAAAAACTAGATAGATTTACAAGCTAGAGTAAATAGATGAATGAATGATTCCTCATTTGCACAGAAAAAAATCGGCTATGCTACACTTCAATAAGGCTCAGATTACGTTTTTATGGTCAGTTTTTTGTAATAATTAAGAAAAAAAATACTTTTATTGTCATTAGAATGGATAAAAAGGTTGGTCGTTGTATCTTAAAATTAGGCAGTTTTCCTATTAAATTGGTTTATCTTAGTACTTCAAGATTTTGTTGCAAGTAGAAGACAAAAAGAAATTTGAAAAGTATATTTTCTCATACAGTTTTATGATTTCTCTCTAACCATATATAAATCATCAAGAAAAAAAACATTTGCTGAAATTTTGCATTTCCGCCATCTTATATAAAGTCTTCAAATATATTTAGTAGATAGAAAACAGTTGAAAGTATATATCGAACAGATAAAATCATAAAAATGGAATATCTGAAAATTTTGAGTCGGAAAAAGAAGTGTGCACTCAAACAATATAATATACAGTATAAAATTACTGAAATGAGAACAAAAAATAGTATTAATCAAATATTTTTTTTGTTTTTGTCGAGACAAAGGTTATTAGGCCGATGCATAAATGTAAAAAAGACATTCTATAGTTAATTGAATGTCATGTCGCAGCTAATGATTGATTGTCATTCTATTTTGACTTCTATGAGACCTATTTTAACTCATACAATATTAAATAATTCAAATAAATGAAATATTTATTTAGAATATAAAAGTTTACAACGTACAGATTCGTTTAAAAGCCTTGATGCACTTAATGCAATCCTATACACAATCAAAATTGATGGAAATTTAAATAATCCTGTTATATGTCGATTGGAAAATCATTATATAACTGCATTATGTTCGCAAAACTTGTTCAACAACAATCATTTATTGCTATTTCTGATAATACAAAAAAAAATAAGGCAGCTAATTTATAAGAAAATTTACTTAAAACGATTTCTCGTTCATTTATGCACGCAAAAAAATTCAAAATACTGAGATCATCCTATTATATAGGAAAATCATTCCGTTTTTAGAAACATGGATTAATAATTATAGTTTTTTTTTCTCAGGATAATTCATTCATGTCACTACTATAACTTGTAAAACCTATCTAGGTTCTTTATTTTGGACATAATATGAAATCCAATAAAATTTATTATTCAAACCAGCATCAATGGAGTCACAAATATACGAATAGATTTTTTTTAAAGGATTTTGTTTGCTTAGAGAAAACCAAAAACATATATACTAATAGATAAAAAAATGACAGTTTTGATCTGCCAAATGTGCCATTGAGTACTGGAAAGCTTTTCCCTTGACACAAAATAAATGCCATGACCGTAATCAACACCAAAGATTAAGTTAGACAACGTATTTTCTAGTATCAGTAATATGCCTTGAAAAAGTTGCCTATGATCCCCTGCAATACATTTTTTATTAAAATTTTTCCTGTACGAATCACAAAGTTTTAAAAAAATTAATTGTATCACAAAACATGTCATCTAACTCAATTTTTGGTACTGATTACGGACATAATACTTTTTTTGTCCGAACAAACTGTGTCCATTACTCAACAGCGTAATTAACAGGTGAAAAACATCATTTTGCGATTTCTTGATATAAGTGTTTAGTTTTTTCTAAATGAACAAAAATCTATTCATACATTTATAACTTATTTGATTCTGGTTCGAATGACATATTCTTTTTGATTTTATAGATTGTGAAAAAAGTAGAAGCTATAGTAAGGTGTAAAAAATGCAAAATTTGAGCAAAAGTCTTTTTTTCCGTATTTTTATACGTAGTTAGATAGAGCTCAACGAACTAAGTAAGAATATGTATTCCATTTACTTTTTTTTTTGAGAGTTTTCTGGTAAAAAAAAAACGAGTTTTTTCGACAGTCTCGAATAGTTCATTTTCTCTAAAAGTACATGTTTCATATTAATAAACTGATATGTGTAGATTCAGCATGAAAAGCTAAGTTTGTGCAGCTAATTTAAAATTAGCTGCACAGACTTAGCTTTTCATGCTGAATCTACACATATCAGTTTATTAGCATGAAAAACGTACTTTTAGAAAAAATGAGCTATTCGAGACTGTCGAAAAAACTCGTTTTTTTTTACCTGAAAACTCTCAAAAAAAATAATAAAATATATATTCTTACTCAACTCGTCGACTTCTATCTAACTATGTATAAAAATACGGGGAAAAAAAGTTTTGCTCGAATTTTGCATCTTAGGAATCATCTTTTGAGTGTAGAAAAACAAGTCGATCAAGCTATAAACCAGTGAGACGAAGATTACATCCTTGTAGTCAGTTTTTCGTATTGATAAAAGAAAATACTTTTATGATTGTTAGAACAGAATAAAAACAAAATCAGTCGTTGTTTTGTATCGAATAACAGTTTAAGCATTTTGCTTTTGTAGAATTTTTCATAAAATATTTAGAACAAGCTACACATGCTGTTAAATTACTCGAATAAGTACCATGTTTCCATTCAGTTTTAATTCTAGTCGATGGTATTATTCTGTCTGCTAAATGTATCAATCCAACGATTCGAATATATGTTAGTATATCTAAAGAGAAAATGCTCGAAGAATTTTTAATTAAACACAAAATGTTTAAGACGTCGACTTCCTTCATATCTCGAAACAAAATGTCAAAATATAATTAATCAATCTTATAATAATTTTTTTATTAAAATACGACAAAAAACAAAGTAAAAAAATTTCACTTTTGCATGTCGTTCACAACAATATTGCATGTTTAGATTTTCCATAATACGTTCATTTGTCGAAAAGTAATTATTTATCATATCGGATAAAATTATGATTGATGCAATACAATTAACATTCAAACATTTTATATTAGTTCTTCGATTTGCTTCTGAATTATCACTTGATGCCATACATTATCAATTTAATATACTTGATTGAAATATTTGTCATATAGCTATTATTTTAAATAGTGATAATATATAGATTTAAACGAACGATTATATTGATGCCAAGAAAAATAATTATTTTTCTTTTCTTTTTTTTTTTTTGTATTATAATTCTGTATTTTCAGGAATATTAGATGTTCTTCGACGTATACGTTTGTTAATAAAGTGGCGAATATAATTCAATGGATTTGAATAAGATTCAGTTTTATTATTGTTATCATTATCATCATCATCATTCATTCGTCGTCCTGTTCGAAGACTTCGTTCTAATGATTTTAAATAAGCAGCTTTATCTCGACTATTTGGTTGTGATGAATTTTCTTTTGTTAAATCACTTGATTCAAGAGCTAAATCAAGACTTTTTATACTAAGGCGATCTTCATTTTCATTGGGTGATTCATTTGAATCCGTTTCTTGATATGCTCTATCCGCTTCTCCATGTAATTTACTAAATAATAAGAATAGAAAAGAAAAGGAAATAAACACATCTTAGTATATATTTCATACTTACCGTAAAAATTTTGGTTGTAATGCACATACAAAAATAAATAGACAAATTCCACAAATTGTTACTGCAGTTATAGTAACGAGTATCAGCGCAAAAAGATCCATGCGATCTCGTCCTTGATTGTACTATGAAGGAAGAGATGAATGTCAACCAACCCTATTCCACACTGGTATCATCATTATTTTCAGACTGTTGCCATCGTCCATGTCTTATCAAATGTCACTCAAAGTGAAAGGATTACAGGAAGCAAAAAAAGAAAAAAAAGCAATTCAAGAGAATATCAATACATAATCTAGATAGATAGATATTACAATTAGAAATAGACGTCGAAAGGTTACAAACAAAAATAGATTGAAAAAAAGTCACAGCGGGTTAACATCAAAGTAAATCAGAAAAGACCGACTGTTACTAATAGCGAGTAGCAGTCATATTATTCTTTTTTTTTTCCTTGACATACAAAGAAATAATTTACTATTACTGCAAGATCGATTGATATATGTTCTTGCTGTTTTTATTCTCTTGATTAGGTTCCGTCACTCGTATTATTTGGTTTGATCGATCGTTCGAATATTGATGTTTAAAATAAAGAAAAAAAATTTCCAGACGAAACGAGCACAATAAGTGCAAACACACTTGCGCTGTTTAACAATCAAGTCAAGAATGGCGAATGACAGAAGAAAAAAAAGACTCTAAAGCAAAACCGTCAATAGCGCTTGCTTGACAAAAAAAGAAAAGAAATCTATTAGTGTTAATGGATGTTGACATAGAAAAAGTTTTTTTCTGTGTTCTGTATTCTCGTTCGCACTCATCTACAGCTACATATATATATATATATACAAAAGCACGCATGAGTATGTGCGTGTCTGATAAATATTCTTCCTGACACGATACAATCGTGTCGACATGCTGAGAAGACCAGTTGTTGATTAAATACATGACGGATATTATCGTACGATAATTGATCAAGTAGTAAAAATTTTAATCGAAAGAAGAAGCACTTAATCAATAACTATATTGAACCTAATAGGAAATTCAACAATACGTATATTAATTCCGGATTTAGTATCCATTAGGAATTATTAAACATATACTATCTATTGATTACATCAAAATTCCATGAAAAAGATAATATCTGTTATTCAACTGATAAATCATATTTACTATTTCAACTATTTGCTACAAAAAACAGATCTATGTATATATATTCAGTTAGTTTTCATTTGAATAGAATACACATTTTTGTTTTACTTTCAATAAACTCAATATATCATTGTAGTTCTTTCTAAAATATATTTAACAGTAGAATATATTAACAATACATATTGATTTTGAATATTCAGTATTGGATTTTTTCATTTTCTGAAATATGTAGTTTGATTGTCATGAATAATGGTTTCGTTTTAGTATTAAAAATCTTTTCATTTCCATCTTTATATCTCTTTATATTTATTTGACATGTGAATATATTTAAAAGATAGAAATAAAAAATAAATAAAAGACTTATTTACATAGGACAGTCAAAAAGTTCTGAGAACTAGTATTATCACTTTAATAAGAAGTACATTATATTTATTTGTCTACAACAAAGGTTAGAAGGCATCATAACAATGTTCGATAGAAAGTTCGATTTACTTTCGAATAATCTTTTTGTATTCATCGATATGTGTCAAACTATATTGCTCGGTTATTGCTTAGTTAAATTTATTGCATCTAAGTAGATATTTAATCTATATGTTAAAGTAGTTGAATAACAGAAGCTCAGACAAAACAAGGCTAGTTGGATGTGTCTGACAAACGATATCTTTCAATTCTTTCTTCTTTGAGAAATTTAATAACATCACTTTTTATATGTGGTTTGCAGTACTATGATGAATTTGATATCACCGATGTCTTATGATAGTCTTTGTTGAAAAGTTTCTTAACTAAGGGTTTTTGAACATTGTTGTGATCATTAGATAGCATTAACAGACCGTATAGAATGCACCTGACGAATAAGTAATGCTCATGTTATGATAGAGAAAATGACAAACATTGTTTCTTTACATGTTGTCATCTTTTTACGACAAGTAAAATGTTTTCTCTTTTTACAGGTTAGGATTTCTTTCTTGCCTCTGCCAAATACTACGATATCTAATCTGTCTTTCAACGTCCGTCATTATATGACATCATCGCAGTGTCCGTTTCATAAAATCTGCCAAACTTTTGTACTAAATCGATGAGCATAACTAAGCAATAATCGAGTAATATAGTTTAACACATATCGATGAATACAAAAAGATTATTCAAAAGTAAATCGAATTTTCTATCGAACATTGTTATGATGTCTTCTAACCTTTGTTGTAGACAAATAAACATAATGTATTTTTTATTAAAATGACGTTACTGGTTCTCAGAACTTTTTGACTGTTCTTTGTATATAAATAGATTATGGCAATTTCTTTCTCTGAATGGAATATACAATACATTATGAAAGAAATTCATTTACAATGGTGATGTGTTGATCTCAGGATCATCAGAATGAAATTTTGAGAATGAATGACTGAAATATTGTTTATGCATGTTCTTATAAGCAATATCATGTTGAATGACGATTAAACTATATTTGCATTTGAAATTGAGAATTAATATTTCCTATATTTTAAAACAAGCAAAATTCATTATGGGAAAATTATTATGCGTTGAAAACACAAAATGTATCTATAAAACCTATTTTAGCATAAAATTTCTGTTAAGATAGATTTCTCAAATGCATTATGTGTATTCTAGTGATATAAGAATATCGTCATTACGAATTTCGCTGTTGTAAAAATACTCTTTTCACTCATATATTATCATATTTCAAAGTCTTTCCAATAAATTAGCAAAATTACCAACACTTTGTAATATTTTAATAATATTAAATAACATGAATGATTTAATATACTACAAATATGAATAGTTTGCTTTCAATAAATTTTATTTACAATCATGTATAATTGAACATGTTGAAATCTATCATTCAGATCTTTGAAAAAAACTTGTAAATTGATATTAATTAGTAAATATTTGTTTTCCCACTCTTAAAAAATAATACTTGTTGGTTCTTTATGTAATGTGTCGGAAATTCAAAATTTTCGCAATTTTCTTTTTCGATATAATATTTTTACTTAGCTCCATAGAGTGTATCGAGTTGCTTAGGAACAGCTAGTTTGGCAATTTTTCTTAAAGCAAACTTAGACAGAGAATTTGAAGGAAAGATCAAATTTTATATTATTGTAAAAAGAAAAGCGATTTCTAATAACAATTCTGTGAATACTTTTTCCTTCTTTATGTAGTCAAACATTTTTAACACTGTTTTCTTATTGTTTAGACGAAATTCTTTAAAAACCTATTCGAAAAAAAAATGAAGTTTTTTAAAAAGAACTTTGTCTATAGAATTAGAAAAACGTCTTGAAAATGTTCAATCACAAGAAATGGAGAAAAAAATATTCACAAGCTTATTACTAAAAGTCGCTTTTTCACAACAATATAAAATTTGACTCTTTCCTTTCTAAACTGCCTTTTCAAAAAAAAACGCGATAAACTATAGTTTTTCCTAGTCAACTCTATGTAACTGCCGAGAAATACAAGACATTGAAAAGAATGTGTAAAAGTTTTGAATTTTCGACATCATACTTCATTTTATATCCAATAAATTAATGAAGTATTACCTAAACTAATATTTTGAATCTGAGACAATTCATTAAATTGTAAATTACTGTATATTAGTAGATCTTTAAATATGGTATTTAATCTATCATTTTCATAGATAATATTCATACACTAATCATATATATTTCTTTAAAAGAATAAAAAATGTTTCAGTATGTCAGACTGTTCTTCTTGTCGCAACAATTTTAATATTTTTAATTGACGATAATAAGATTGACACATATTAATCATAAGCAACAAAAAAAAAACACAAAAGAAAAATTTTTATCGACAGAACAACAATTGATATTCATCTTAAAGATCATTATATACTTTTCAAAAAAATAAAATTGAATTCTATGATTGCAACAAAAAAATAATAATATCGACAAAAGACAACAAATCATTCCATATGGTATAAATGAAATAATCCGTCGAATGTCGGCATAGTAAAGTGCATCGACATTCTGTCTTCAAAGAATAGCCTTCGGTATGGCTAATATTGCTCACTTACATGACTTATTTTTTTTCTTTCAATAATCGTACCGACAACTGATCAATGATGATTAGCTCCAGATGATATGATTGTTGATATGCTGCTACTTTGCTCTATCGATAGAGATTGATATACACATATATGTTTGACATGGTCAAAGCGATTGATATTTATCGTCTATTATCTTATTCACACTAAATGGCTTGCATCATTTTCTTCTTCTTCGTCTTCTTCTTTTTCTCTCCTCTGTTAATCGAACTTTCTTAAAGAGAGATAGTTGGCATCATTCATAGATATCTTGATCAATTCAAGTTAATCATAAACAAACCTCCTATCTATATGATGAGTTAAATGAGAATGGATAAAAAAAAAAACGAAGTACAAATAGATTCATCATTCTAAAAAAGAACCCATCCATTCGTCATATCAATTGATCGTATACATTTCAAGATTCTTTGCATATTTACTAATGGATTTCACACAGTTGGAATTCCATTTTCATGTTATTATCGATTAAAGAAAAACAAGTATATCTTTCATTCATTCATTTATTTATTTATTTACATAGATGTAAACAACTAAGAACAAGTAAGAATTATTAAATTCCGTTTTTTTTTGCTGTTTTTGATAATCTATCTTAAACAAGAATATGTATATAATAATCATTGAAAAATTTAATATGTTACTTTTATTTTATTTATTATTAGACTAATAGTTATTATTTTAAAAATCTTCTTAAATTAAAGCTAATAGTGATAATTAATATCTGAAGAGTAGAAAAAAAAAAACTTAATAGACTACTGATTTAGTTTATTATATTCATGTCTTTCAAGTTTTCTTCTTTTTTGTTTTTTTTTTATTCATAACTTGTCATTATCATTTTATAGTTTTGTTTTTTGAAATAAAAAACCTATATATTAGTTATTTTTATGAGATATGCACTTATCATTTTGACTATATGATCGTTTTTTAGAATTACTTGAATTATAATAAGACAGTAGAATATGAGAATAAAGTAAAATAATGAGTGAGACGTTTGAAGCATCACACACACATATAAAAATTAGAATTAGACATCTTTTTTTTTTCTGTTTTTTTTTCTTTATGTCACTGATTTGTCTCTGTCTGTCTGTCATTCGATGATGACAACGTCGTAGAGTGCCAGAGCGGAACCTATTTAATGTCTCTAATTGCTGCTCGAGTAACAACTCTTTCATACTTCCTCTAAAATTGATTGTGTCTTGTGAGTTAAAAAAAGAAAAGAAGAAAAAGACAGAAAAATAGCATAGGCACACTGATGATGATGATGAGAACGAGGATGAGTTCGAAGACAGTAATGTTAAAGAAGAATAAATAAGTGGAAGAAGATTACCCACTTTATACACCTGCCTATACGTGTATACACGTACATCGATAATAGTTAAGTAAAAAACGACTTAGAAAAGTAATAAAATTAGATTTAATTAATCTCAATGTTTTTCTTATTCTCTATACTCTCAACTTCATTATCCTAATGGCTTTTTCTTTTATTAAGTCAAATAACAAGTTTTTATTTGATCGATGATTATATATATAAACATAAGGACAAATGAATATACTATAGTATCAATTATCATTAGTAAAACATTCTTTTTCTTTTTTTTTTTAGGGGGAGTATCTTTTTCAATGTATGTATATTACTTCGCATGAATGATAATTTGAAATGATCATCATTATCATCATCCGACTCTCAATTAGTCGTTGTTACATAGAAAAGCGCAGTAGCCATTAAGCTTCTCCAACTTTCCGCTTGATGCTCGTTGAAAATAAACGTAGCATTCTCATCATTTTTCTCTTCTCTCTTGTACACCTGACAATTGTAATTCGACGCGCGTGAGTTTAGCAGTCAGAAAAGGAAAAGATGATGAGAGATGATGGTGACGGTGATTCCTTTCTGATGCTACTACTCACACATGACTGAATTTGACGGTAAAAGATGCAGCGGAAGAAATCAAGCTAAATGAGAAGAGAGATTTTTTTGACAGAGACATACATACACACACGTATATATATATTTATATAAAGAGAAGTAAGTTTTTATGATAAGAGACAGGTATATTAATTGCTTATTAATCGATTGGTTCGTCAATATATTGAATAGATTAACCAATCATAGAAAGAACCGGTAGGTATCAAATAATGATTTCTTCCATCTTTCTTTTTCTTCTCTCTCGCTCTCTCTCTCTCTCTTGATATTCCTCGAGGCTATCTTATCTTTGTATACACATCTGATAATTTGTTAATCGTCTAAGTAAAAGCCAACGCGTTTGCACAAAGTGCCCATCGCTTAATATGATTAGTTGATATTCTATATATTCGTCATCTTCAGATTTTCTTACACATTTTTTTTCCTCAATCATGTCAACGATGCCAATGTCAGCAAATGATCTTTATCAACGGTATTCATCATCATGGCCATTTTCATCGTTAAATATGACATCAAATCGTCATTTATATCATCATAATGAAAAATATCGTTCATCAACAAATAATCGCATAACACGTTTTTATATTGATGATATACTTGCTGATTCAAAAACATCATCAACAAATGATATATGTTCACGTTCAACAAAAAATCATAAAGGTTTTTGTTTTGTTTCTTTTTTTTGTTGTGTTCGATTTTGAACAAAAAAAAAAAAAAAAACTTTGTGATGAAAATCAATTTTGTTTCTTAGAACGTTGCCGATCAGTTTCGAACAGTGATGATGGTGATTTATTAAACAATATGCAAAAGAAAAAAAAGAAAAAAGCACGAACTACGTTTACGGGTAAACAAATATTTGAACTTGAGAAAAAGTTTGAAGATAAAAAGTATTTATCATCAACTGAACGTGCTGAAATGGCTACATTACTTACTGTTACTGAAACACAAGTTAAAATTTGGTAAGTCAAAGAAAAAAAAAAACATTAGTAACACTTATCGCTGTTATTTTAATGTTAATCAACTTACTGTCGGAAAAAATATAAAGAAGAATTAGAACAATAAACGACGTCATTTTATTCATTTGATAATGAAACATGAATTAAATATAGTATAAAAAATTAGAAACATTCTAATTTGTAAATCTGCTATTGAATAGAATTAATTAAGATTTCGATATAAATAGTTTGATGATTATTTTATGAAATTATTAAAATAAATTATTATGACAGTGCATCGAAACAATGTTTGTTTTATTAATTTTTAATGAAATCCAAATCTGAGTGTTACATTTAATCAAGCTTAATATTTAGATGAATAGGCTTTTTTTTTAATATGACGTAATAAAACGTTTCAGAATTGGAATTTAAAAAAAAAACAATGAAAAGTCTGATAGATAAAAATAACATAGATGCAAATAATTTTGTCTAGACATGGATTTACTAGAACAAGATATCTTGGTTTTCTTTTTGTCTGTGTTCTGGCTTAGAATTATTTAAAATAGTTAACTACTTTTTCATGTATATTCATTGACAATGCTAATTATTAAATCATTTATATAATGATCATTTCAACAAGAGGTATTCTGTGTTAAGTGTAAGGACAAGATAGAAGTCAAATGAGGATAAACAAAAAAAAAAAGAAAAGATTCCTTATTAACATAATTTTAAAACTTCGTCTTTGTTTTTTTCTAGGTTTCAAAATCGTCGAACAAAATGGAAAAAAACAGAAAATATTTCGAATGCTGAAGCTGCTGAACATAAATTAAGTACAAGAAAAATGTCATCAACTTCATCATCATCATTAGACCATAATCGAAATCAAGCTGTTCAATTACCAGTCGATCGTAGTACAAGTAGCAAGAGCAGTAGTTGTAGTTCAGCTAGTTCTCATCGATCGAATAAACGAGTTTATAGTGCACCGCCACCACCACCACCACTCCCTTCTCCACTTCCATTACTTTATTTTAATCCATTTTCACATTTACTTCAATCATCATGTTCATCAAATCATGACAAATTAGCTTCACCATCATTTGATGAACATTGTTATTCAAATTCAACATCATCTCAATCACCTTTAGCAATACCTGAAACTAATCATTGTTCACCTTCCAATAGTTCTACACCATTAAATGACAATATTGAAGATCAAACAGCTGATGAAAATACAAAACCACAATGTTTAATTAAACAAAGATCTTGTTCGAGATAAAAATAAAAAATAAATATAAAACTTGAAATATAAAAATACAATAAATTTTTTTTTCTTTTTGATGTGTTTGTCTTCTTCCTTGTTTTTTTTCGTCTTCTTTAATTAATAAATATCAATATGTTCTTTTACAGTCTATTTCTAATATTGTTTAATTAAAGATTTAAATATATATTCAGTAACACTATTTCTTTGTATAAATCATTTTGATTATAAATATTTTTGTTTTTAAAGTATGACAAAGTTGTTCAACAATGTTATCTTTTGATTGTTTTCATGTTTCAATGATTTTAACAGTTTCTCATATTAGAAGCAATTATTTAACTTGACAATTTTTTAATTCTAATTAAAATACGTTATGAAATACATTGCTATAAATCAATATCCAATAAGATGTTTTGAAACAATGTCAAGATCTATTTCTTTAGAAAATAGAACATGTGTGCGACGTTAAAATTCTTTAGTTTTTAAAAAAATAAAATGTTGATAAAATATTAATTAATTACAATAGCGATATTTTAGACTGAAATTGAAAGTCGATTTTAAAATAACAATTTGAGATATATCTTTAAAATTTTGTATCGTATATTATGAATGGCCTTATTTTTTTAATCTTTATAATATTATTTGATAAAAAGTACGTATTCAAGGAAATAGTAAAGAGAACAATATTGAGTAATTGAGTATTCTATTAAAAGATGAAATATGACTTTTGTAAAATTATGTATATAAATCATCAGTAGAAAAAAAAGGAAGAAAAAAGTGTTTCGGAACAACATCCGCATTCTTATACTATAATTTTGTAGATAGAAATAAACCTATAAATGAAGTCATAGAGATTCTAAAAAAAGAAAAAGAAATATTTTTCTCTGCAAGTTTTATCTATAAATAGCATAAACGCTGAATTTAATATTAAATTAAAACGTATTGTTTATTTGAGAGTTATTAGCGTAAATCAAAATGAATTATGGCATTTTTTTTGCCAGAGAGTGTTCAAAATTCTTGAATTTTTATACAGTTTGGATGTGATGGCAAAACGATAGTAAATTACAAGATATTTTGCGTGCTATAAAATTTGATAATGGTTAACATGGAGGGCAACGATTGCATTCATGAAGCCGTAAGAAACAAGAAAAATTTTTTTTCTATGCATCTTTTTTTTAAAACAAAAACTATGGTTGGCTATATTCTGTTAAAAACTATTTGTCAGGTTTTTGATCTATTTTTTAAAGTATGAGTCTTCATTTACTTTTTCTGAAAATGATAATAATTTGAAATGTTGTCTTAATCTATACTGATCCGTATTAATTATTGCTATTTTGAATGAGCATTTGTTGGATAGATCAGAGATGGAACTGGTCTGGATTTTTCACGACCGATACCAGTGCTATTTTTGAAATGGATAATTCATTGTTTGTACTCTCTTTAGATAACCTCTTCATTATTGAAAAATATACTTTTATCTATTCTGAAAAGTTGAAATTAGAATAAGTAACTCGATAAGATAAGTTAGATTCTTCAGAAAAACATAAAATTCAACAATATTCATAAGAATTGATATAGTTAAAACTCATATTAGTAAGTAGGAATTATAATGAATGATATGTAGTTTTATATATGTAAGACAATCGATATCGAGCGATAGTAGCCAATGAATATCCTTTTTGACAGTTCTAATCTATTGATTCTCTTAGTTAATTTTTTGCTATTGTATTCTAAATTAATAAGTCGACGTTACGATAGCCAATATCTAAAATACAGCAAAATAATTAACTAAGATTTCAATATCAAGAGCAAAACATGTATGTAAATTCAATAATCGATATCGACGACTATTTATAATACAATAAAACGGTAATCGATAACTTTAACAAAAAAAAAATAACGTGATGAAATTTTAAAAGATATTTTTACTGTAGCATCAACAAGGAAAAATAATGGAAGAAGAATTTCTTCAAGAGATTTAGATAGAACGTAAATAGAATAATAATAATACCAAGTGCTATAGATGGTATAAGAGCAAATTTGAAGCAATGAATTTTTTCCATTAGAATAGAAGCATTAAACAGACTTCTTTTATTAAATATTACATTATTTCAGTTGTCAACAACACTAACAAACATTTTAGAGATTGATTGAAAATATGAATAGTCAAATGTTGTGACCAATTGTTTTAAAACGAAATTGTTAATTTAGATAGCATTATACTTTTGAGCGATTTTTGATTCTAATTATAAAAAGTTGTAAAAATAGTGACTATTTTCTTCATAGAAAATTAAATTAAATTGTATCATTTTTCTCTGTTCTTATATTTAGTTGCTAATGAATTGATAGAAATATATCTAAGTTGGCATGTGTGAAGTAATTCTAAACTTCGATTACTAGAAGAATTTAATGAAAAGAAAATATACTCCATAAGATCTTGCCTATAGTATCTGATAATATCGATCGATTGCCATAGCTATAACTTGTTGAACAGACAATTAAAGATAATTATTATATAAGTCGGGCCACCGATTGCAGATACGAGTTCTTCTCTATGTAGAGCAAATTTCTTCTTACATGTTAAACAGCTCCACGGTTGCTATTATCTTCGTAGACTTTAAATCCTTCTTTGATCATTTGTTCTTTGAAGGATACTTAGAAAAACTAGCTCGAATGAGTATTCCACAGATGTCTGTGAAATGGATCGATGTATGACTGCAACATTGATTTGAAATAATTGAAATACAAGGTAAAGAATTGAGGTTCATTCTTTATTCGTCGTAGTGTTCCTCTAGGTTCGATTTTTTGTCTGTGATCATGCCGTTTATCTGTGCCGAAACTTTGACATACTCCATTCTCTACATTCACGCTTCCTTTTTTTATTTGGCTACTAGTCCTCTACCTTCTGCTCACCATTTGCCAACGGTGGAGGCTTAACCACTTTTATTATACGTCACTAAAACATATATATATATCGTTGCCCATACTAGGAAGATTTTTTCTTCGTTTCTGCCTATGATGAACGATCATTCGATGACCATCTCCTTCTAAAGCAAACGTCGCTGAATCCTCACATGTCTTCATGGCAAGAGAGTAGAACATGATTTCCTTGCATACACAGATCAGAGTGATTTGTTTCACGCACCGATGTGTTTAATGTATAACCACAATATGAATATCATCTTGCGAGATGACAGATTTAACTGTAACGTTAGATGAAAGAGATTTTCGATGCTTTACTGAGCTCTCTGAAACCTTCTAGCCCATTTCTACTCGCTCTTATTTTTCTCTACTTTTTCATATTGTGTTGCCGTTCTCTATTATTCTTCTGCTAATCTGTGTAACTAATTCAAGTCCTTTCAAGATCGTAATAGGCAGAGGACAATATTAAAGTGTTCTACAAGAAAGAAAATAATTAATATATATGTCAACAAGAATGATGTCTAAATTATTTATGTATCAATTTAGATTATTTTTTGAGTCGAAGTAAAGTAAAGAAATAAGAAGGATCAATATCTAATGTTTAATTGAAACGATTTACTAGTGACGAATGTTTTTTACGTAAAGTAATAATATTTTCGTGCAATAAACATCAGAAATGAACCGATTCCACGTTCGGTGTTGCATATGAAGCTGAATCATTGATAATAACATAGCTACGAAGATAATGGTTTAACATTAGAAGATAATATGATAAACATCCTTTTGATTCAGAAAAAAACTAATATTTTACACTTCATTGAGTATATATGGGTATTGTGTTAGTAGGTAACAGCGAATTTTCAGTATTGTCATTAGTTAGTCATAAAAATTTTTGAAATTCTCCTCTTTGCACTCTTTCATCTTAGTAATGGTTTGATAAGAATAATATAATGCTCTCAGGATTTGAAAAATATTACTTTTCCCACGAAGCCGCTAATTTAGATTTTCTTCTTCAATAACAGAAAAATAATGATAAAATTTCTTGATCTGTCTTCTGAATTGTCGATGCAGTAATATTTCATACAATTTAATTTGGTATACATAATTACACAATGTATTCGTTATTAGTTTTGATAATGGTTTGGCCGGTATTTACTTTTTCGAAGCATTTCATCGAACTCCATCTAATAATCAGAGCTTCAATTGAATTTTCCAGTAGCCATTGGATCTTTCATTAATTATCGTTGAACTAATCGAACATAGAAAAGTTTAGACTTCTGTTTACATGAATGCAAATATCAGTGGTTGTATAAGTTAAGTTCTTCAACTCATTGTAGATGGACTTCTATTCGATTCCTATTATCTTTCTTCATCAATCATACAATTGTATATAATAAAAATCGTAATTTCAATACAGTTGATGACTATGTACCTGTTGTAATTAGAGAAGTGCTTGTTATTTTGTCTATTTTCTATTGGAAACCGCTCGACATTCCAATATTTTGTTTGCTAATGTTATCATGATCAATATAACACATACCCCTACTAGTCATACCAATATGAATATACATCAAGCAAGTGCTTACACTAGTGTTTTTCTCATGCCACTTAGATATCTCTTTCACTGAGTTCTTATACTTAGTTTAGTGGATATGGTTGTACATATAGCTCAACTATTTGCTGACAATGTTTAAACTATCACTGTTGTATTTGTTTATACCACTAACACATTGTTTAATGGTTTTATAATATCTCTCATCAACAATCTATGTACTCGATGATTCGCTAGTTTTACTCGATCTGTTCCTTTCATTCGTTTCTAACTTTTTAGCTGGCTTGTTGATATCATTTTTACAGAAATTGCAAAATATATACATTCTATCGTGTTAGATACAGTTCCTATCTTCAATGGGGTAAAATAAATGTTTTGCATTGATTTTGTTTCTTCTGTATCTCAGTGTAGGAATATTATAGAAAGTCAATTGTTTTTGAATCATAGCTCATGATTTCTACAAATTTTGTTTAGAAAGTATTTCGATTGGACACATCAGTTATACGTTCTGTATTAAAAGCTTCATTCGTCTAAAACCATGTTT